TAGGGCCGAGTTTTTGAGAGAATTTAACGTTGACAGGAATTTGTGTTTAATGGCTAGTTTTATCCAAGCGCGGATTATTCTTGAGCTGGCTTCAGGGACAAAAGGTAAACTGCAGTGTATTGTTCTGTTATTGGGTTTGTTAGTATCAATTTTGTTCGCGAGTTGAGTTTTGTTGTGGTGAACGTAGGAGAATTTTTCAAGAATAGCTTGTGGAAATTTATTGGTGTGAATAAAGGAATGCTTTATGTGGTTAATTTCTTCATTTATGTAGTCCATTGACCAGAGTCTTGTGGCTGTGTTTATGAGGTTTTTCAGTGTATTGATTTTTTGTGTGGTGTCATGAGCGGAATTCCAAGGAATGTAGAGGCCGGTGTGTGTTCTTACGGTGAATTTTGGTTTTAAACTGTGTCCGAACTGATAATGTCGAGGTAAAGAAAAGATAACTGTTTATTGTTTTCATGTTCTACGGTAAATTTGATGTTGAGATGAATGGAATTTATGTGTTCAAAGAAAGTTAGTGTGTGTTCTGTAGAAGTGAAACCAGAAAAAGTGTCATCGACATATCTGTACCAGTATAATAGGGGATGAAGTGCAGAATGTATGGCTTGTGTTTCGATCTGGGTCATGAATATATTGGCAAGAATGGGTAAAACAGGACTGCCCATACTTAAACCATCTATTTGAAGAAAATGTTCATTGTTGAACATGAAGTTGGTTTTAGTTGTTGTAAATTCTAAGAGACAAGTAAAAAGTGTGCTGGGGATGTGGATTATCTTGTTGGGGTCATTAATGTAGAGGTCGAGTGTGATATTGCAAGCTTCATTGGTGGGGACTTTGGTGAAGAGTGACAAGACATCAAAACTACCCATTAAGGCTTTAGAATTTAGTTGGTCTAGTGTGCATTTGAAATTGAAGGCATCTTTAAAAAATGAACCTGCAGATGTTACATATGGTGTGAGAGCCCAGGCTATGTATTTTCCAAGATTGTAGTTGCAGAAATCATATGTGGACAGAAAAGGTCGTGAGGGGCAGTCCTGTTTGTGTGGTTTAAGAATGCCATAAAGTTGTGGTGTGCGTGAATCACCTTTACATAGATAAAAATAAAGATCATCAGTAATTTTCATTTGTAATAAAGTTCTGTAAGTTCTTTTTTGTGTGTGTTTGTTGGATTGTTTGGGATGGCTTTGAATTTCTTTTTATTGGAAAGGATGTCATTCATTTTGTCGATGTATTCCGAGTTATTCATGATTACAGTGGTGTTGCCTTTATCAGCTTTTAGAACTTTAATGTTAGTGTCTTTTTTCAGATTATAAATGGATTTAATCTTGTTACTTGTGAGGTTACTTTTCAGTTTAGTAGGAATGCCTTCTTTAAAGTTTAACAGAAATATTAAGGATTGCTAAAGCATTACTTACATAAATCTCAATTAAACTGATCATCCAAAACCTCCCAACCAACTCTATAGCTTAAAAAAAGTCAACCTTTAGAAGTCTATAACTCTAGAGTTGTTAATTCTAATTAAGTATAACACAACAACATATATAATGAAATAAAATCTCTCAACACTTTGCTGAGCTTTCAAAAGTTTCTCAAGAAATTCACCTTAAGCCATCCCATGTAAAAGAAGAACTGTAAGAAGTTGAATATAGGAACATAGATGTCAACATGGTGATTATCGTAGCCCTTCTCTGGATCCAGCATCTGGCTCCCCATCAAAGCAGCCAAAAAGTATGTGTACACAGCCAATGTCACAACCTATTAGTATAAACAGCATTGTATGTGATAGAAAATGTGTAACATACATAACTGCTAACTATCTGTTTATTAGATAATATTAAATCAAATAGTTGAGCATGTTAAAAACATGAAATATCAAATATTCTTTGCAACTTTTCCAAACATAGACCTGAATAATATATTTTGTTATGAGCTATAAAAATAAGAGGTACCTCAAATAAATACATGGGTAGGAGCAAAAAAATTTGTCACTACTGAACATGTCAGGTCATTCATAAACCAAATCTTTCCCTCTGACTTTATCAAGATATTTATGATCAACAATAGCAATAGATGCTACATGGGTGACTATAATATCAAATTAATTACTTAGTTATCAAATGAAACATAAAAAAAAAGAGATAGACAAAGTCACATCTAACTTTTCTGTGCTGGTTCTATTCTAGCCAAAACTGTCAGTGTAGATTTTCATACTCATTGTGAAAATCTCTCACATATGCACATAACAAGTAAATCACATTCAACAAAAATGCTGGCTGTTTCAAAATGACTTTATAGATCTGGATGTCTTGATATAAAACCAAGCTGTATGCAAAATTTACAAAACAACTATCTATACAACAAAAGACACTTTAACACTTTAAAATAGCTCATTTAATAATTTATGTAACTAATTAAAACACTATACGAATGAAGTTGGTCAATTTCATAAACCTTGAAACCATACATATTATAACTCTCAATTTACCATGTGTAACTTTATGAAACTTGCCAAGCTTTTAGGAAATACTAAAAGTCTGTTGCACATACACAAAAAGTCAAAGTTTTTGGTAAATTATTTTTAGTTTCTGCTAAAGATTTCTTTGTTAATTTCCAAAGCCTTTACTGAGTCAGTCTGAGTGAAAGGCAATTTACATGTTAAGAATAAAAATACTTCTTTTCATATTAAGTTTTTATCTTTAATTTTGCATAACCTCTAGAATGTTCTAAAGAAACATCACGTTTTTCTTTGGTAAAAATTTCATATTTCATCTATTTTCTCTATCCTAACACTAACTGTAGAGAAATCATCAATATACAGTGAAATGAAATATAGAACAATATAAAATAAAATGAACAATAAATTTTTTCCTCTGCAATAATTGGAATACTGATCAGAATGTTTTAAATTACTCATCATAACAGTTTCAACTTTTAATTTTTTCGTGTTTTCTTTGACCCAGTTGTGCAGAAGGAATTAAAAATGTCTATTAATTCCACTCAAAATAATTTTAACTACTTAATATACATATGGACAATTCTGGTCAACCTAAAACATATATGTACTGGACCATTTTTACATTTGGATGTTATTATTACCATCTTGCTTCTACAATAATTAGCCCTTTGAAACTTACAATGCTATTAAAAACAACATTAATTTGTTACCTGAGTGTACACTAAAGGGATACTGATCCAGTCGTAGTTAAACAGGTCTCCACATTTTCCTCGATACTTTGCTATTTCCTGAAAATGTGGAAATAACATCAAACTATTGATTTATTTATTAATTTAAACATTCTTCTACTAATTGACCTCATATAGTCATCTTTTGTTTATTACAAACATAAAATTGTACTTCTTTACAAAAAACGTTCTCTCATATAACAAAAACTAACTAGATTTCAATCACCTGAATATCAATGCACTTGTCACTTTTATATTTACTTTCAAGTATTTGAATTTGAAATTCACGCAAAATGTTTAGGTACTGCTGTAGAATGTTATTATTCTATAAATCATTTATTTCAAAGTCAATAATATTGGGTTATTATGTGATCAATATTTATTGACTACTCTTTGTAACAACATGTTTCACTGATAAGCAGCTTTGTTTACTGTTTTCAGGATATTTTTTTCTGAATGGAACAAAATGTGGAATAACTCGAATATTATAGAAACACTAGGAAGACACTTTGGTACTCTACTAGTGTTTTATTGTTCAGATATTGTAAAATTGTTGTTTGTCAATGAGTATAGCTCTAGTAGACACAAGTATAATTCTGGCAGAATATGTTTTTTTTAACTTCAGTTAAAAACGGAAAACAAAATAAAATAGTACTTGGAGTTGAACTGTTATATTGAGGTACAGTTTAGTTAAATAAATACTTCAAATAACTCATTAAGTTTTTGTTTTCATCTCCTCTGTAGGTCATCCATCAATCCCATAATATGTTGTTAAAATCTTTGAATATAACAGTATATGTTTCTTTGAGCAAAAGTACTTGATTATGAAATGGCAAATTTATAAATAGGCCATACTAATAATGTTAATAGTTAGCAATTTTGTTAACTTTTTCCTCAGATTACTACTTTTTTTATTTAAATCTAATATACATAAATTTTATAGAATATAATTGTCTTATATATGTCTAAATATTTTTAATAGCTAGGGCATGTACAAGTGTCAATGCTTTTTATCTGTGTTTTATTTCTTTATTTCATATAAATTTTAAAGCAACACATTAAATTTTATTTTTCTGATTGGTCAGAAGGAATTTTGTTTCATTAAAGTAAAATAAACACATTATTTTATGCATTATAGCATAAAATAAATTTAGAAAAAATTATTCTCCAGTAAGTATGATACACGAGTTTGTGCAAGAATGCTTATAAAAAATTATAATAAAGTTATACTTTTGTAAAAGCTTTCTGAATGGGCTAAAGTTGGTTTTAAAGAACAAAAATGCACGATGTATAGAACCACACTTTTTTTGTGTCATAAGCCTCAAGCTTATTGCCGAGTCCTTGGAGGAGAGAAGGACTGGTCTAAAACATATTTTTAAGCATATAAATTGAAAATAATATGTTCAACAGAATATAATGCCAGTATTGCAATTATCTTTATGCTAATAACTGTGTAATAAACAAAAAGATACAGGATATATTTTTGGTCTCTACAGATCATTAATAAAATCTCAGCCTCTGGAGAGTTAAAAAGAAAAAAAAACTTTTTAAGCCAGTATATCATCTCTTCTAATCATCGAGCATTTAGAAATTCTGTATCATTTACAAGTTTGAATGTCTTGAAACACATTAATCCACTCACATCAACAAGAGTCTTCAAAGCAAAATCATCTCGAACTCTGCCTTCTTTTCTAGCCCGAATACAAATACTAGATGCCCATATTAACGGCATCCAGTATATTGGGTGAGGAGTTTTTAAATGATCTATTACTTCCTTTTCATTAGCAAGCAGAACACCTAAAAATTCAATTAAAATAACAATCAAGCTAAAACACACAAACTGGGAAAGAACTGATCAGTAAAAAAATACTGGATATATAAACTTCCAGAATGACACAAACATTTAAAATTTTGCATTCACCATTTTATATACATTTATAGCTTAAAGTAGTGGCTACAACAACTGATAAAATAAAAAAATGGTATATTAATGAATATCAATCAGTTTGCAACTGACTGGATATAACAATCTAGAGGTTTTCTTTCACCACATTTGTTCTTATTTTCTTATTCAATCAGATACAAGTACAAAACTGATGCAATGATAACAGACACGATTAAATCATAACAATCAAAGCTTGCAAAAAATAAAACTTTTTCAAACACTATTAATGCTTCACATATATATATATATTACTCTCAACAGGATAATATGGTACATGTACATACTGATTAATCTTTAGCTTTTTCTATTGTAATAAGCAGTTATAATTTTACACAACAATATATTTTCAACATCAGGGTTTAGATCACAATACCCAACACTAACCATTAAAACTTACAACATTTTTGTTATTAGATATATACATCGAAATATTCAGCTATTTTTTTCATCATATCCTGAAGAAAATTTACTCTCTCCTGCATGTGAATAATACAAAAACACTTTAAACACTGCAAAACAACAGTCTACTTATTAGATAGTGATGTATATTTGATATGGTTAAGATATTTTTTCTCCTTGTTAAATATACTCTGAACAAACTGTTAATCTGAAGTGCCAGTAATAAGCCACATATCTCTACGTTAAAAAACAGTAATATTGACATCATTGACAATGTTTTAAATCTTTATTAAATAAGTTTGGTTGACAATTAAACAAAACACTGGTTGATTTTCATTATACAACCACAAATAAACATGTGCAGATGAGTTCTAATTTAAAAACCTTTACCATAAAGCTGTAATTAGAAGAATAAATACCTCATACACTCATTTTCATGAGCTATCAATTAATGTAAGTTAGCATGAATAAATTGAAATAGTTTGTTTTTATTCTCAGTAATAAATACACTATAATCTAATTGAAATTTCAAGATTTCTTTCCATAAGTCATGGTACTGAGTGCCTTTGAACCTCTGTTAACATAGAATAAAGAAGTAAAAGCTGACTAGTGGAAAATTTTAACTGTTGGTTTGGATGGTGAAATCCATGCAGCTTCAGTAAGATTTTCATTCTAACAAGTAAACTTCCTATGTGAATTATGAAAAGCATGAATTTTGAAATCTCACTACAATATCATCCAACTGTTTAAGTTTTGTCTTTCTACAAGATATGTAACCACAATGCACTAAACAAAAATTATCCTACAGATCAGAAAAGTAATGCATTTATTATAACTTACATAAGGAAGTTTTCTACATAAACAACACAACAGTAAAATATTTTTATATTCAGTTCAATTTACCTTGGATTCATCAGTGTAAATTAACCCAACACAAATAAACTAGCAACTGTTGTAAATTGTTTAACATACAGATACCATATTGCCCCTAATTAACATCCCCCTCCTGGTCATAGAGATCAGCAATAAATACTGGTAACTGACATTACGTATAGGCCACAATTTTCTGGCCTTTTTTCGCTGTAGCAGCAAATTTCAAAGATGCTTTGGCAGTGCCAATCAAAGGAGATTACCCAGTACATGGTAATACTGCTTCACAGCATTTTTTACACTTATAAACAATGATTACCATATTTACTGTGATAGTGAGCACTGATGTTTATAGCAAATTTAAAAATAAATAGGCTATGTTTGCTACGACTTATTATAGATATATTTGTTTATAATAAGAGGTATTATCACATGACCCAATTAGTCTCTAATTAGCACACATACACCACTTTTTGCATTTTGGATGCATTAATTAGGGGCAAAATGGTATGTTGGAAGCTCTGTATTTATAAATAATGCCCATGCAGTGACTTGAACAACATGTAACAACAACAACATACAAATAAGGCAATAGTTTAACATTTTTTTAAAAACTACGTGTTTCTTTAATAATATTTCCAAAAACATTTTAATCATTGGATTAAGATTATTACAAGTACAAACATGAATAAATGACTTATCTATGTTCAATAATTATGGACATTTAACTCCTTCATATTGCTTACTTACATTTTAAACATAATTAATGACCCTTTATTGTTTGTTTGTTTGTTTGAAGTTAAGCATAAATGACTTATCTATGTTCAATAATTATGGACATTTAACTCCTTCATATTGCTTACTTACATTTTAAACATAATTAATGACCCTTTATTGTTTGTTTGTTTGTTTGAAGTTAAGCATGAAGCTACACAATGGGCTATCTGTGCTCTGCCCACCACTGGTATCGGAAACCCGGTTTCTAGCATTGTAAGTTTGCAGACATGCCGCTGTGCCACTGGGGGGCAACCCTTTATTGAAAGTAAGGTAATATGTGATTACTTCTTTTCCTACTAAGTATCCCCACTACAGGTGCAGAAGACATTTCAAAAGTTTTAATGAAAAAAAAAGTTCTTGTGACTTTATTAGGATATGATTATGCATTTTGTTACTAAGTTTCAATACTGTAAAATGTAGACCTTAAGGACTGTAATTAAGTAAGTAAACTGTGGTTCCATTTCTTCATGTCAATTGGTGATCTTATGATAAATAAGATAAGACCATCACAAATATAAAATAGATTTACAAACCAGCTTCCACTAAATGATCTAAAGTAGGGAACCTCTTCTTTACAGCAGGACTAATGCAGGTCAGAGTGATGATAAAAGCTAAATTCACATAACGCATAATTGTTCTCCTCATCAGGCGGCCACGTTCATCCTTCCAACAAACAAAGCATGAAAATTTTTTATTAAGTTTATATATTTCAATATTGCAATAGCAAAATCTTTAAAATGTATTTGAAATGCTACATATAGTTTTTAAATCCATTTCTTCTCACCATCCTTCAAGATATTCTTGGTTTTGTAAAGCATCAGAAAATAAACTATAGAAGCATAAAGTTGCTAATAATGTTCTAATCCAATAGTGGGATGAAAGATAAAATTAAGGTATCTAGCTGTTAATATTTAGTGTCACATACCATCAGTGATGAAATCTCATTAAATTATACTTCTCAAACTAGACTGGATATATTTTTGTTATTCAGACTATTCTTCATGATTTGTGAAATGTACTGTAAGTATGTAAAAACAATACTACTGGGGAGAGGAAATATATATTTTTAAAGATAATGAAAACCCTAACTTTGTATAGTAAGAAAATTTATATACTTATTAAATAGCCAAGTGGGTATACAAACTTTAAGAAATAAAACTGGAATCACAAAGTAAGGAAATGTGATAACAAAATTTATCAAGAGGAATTAATAGCGTATGGAAAAAAAGTGTTGAAAAGCAGATTAAGTATTTGCCGTTATGAAGTAAGATTATAATTTTAAATTGTGTAACTTTTAACTTGATTAAGCATAATAGAATGACAAAATGTTTTTCCATTGCTGCTTTATGAAAAAAAAATATATTTTTTATAACACAAACTTAAATAAACAAAAAAGCTTACATTATAGCATTTTCCACCAAAAAGTCACCATTCCCTAATACAAAACATTAATTGTCTTTCTCTCCTTTCATATATCATACATGGTTTACAACTCATTGTCACGTTTGTTTTGTTGTTAAGCACAAAACTACACAATGGGTTATCATCTGTGCTCTGTCCACCATAGTTATCAAAACCTGAATTTTAGCATTACAAGCCCTCAGACCTAATCCTGTGCCACTGAAAGGAGGTCAATGTCATGTATTTCTTTGATGGTCATATGTCCAACCCTAGTAATGTGTGTACTTTTGCTATTTCACAACATGTATTTCCCATTTACTTCATTTTTAACCTGCAGAAAACATGACACTAAACACTTATGTATTAGTTTTCTTTTTTCTATTTACTGTTGCATTTATGTTACATGTCCATTTTGAATTGGTTTTATGTTGTTTAATTTTGAATTATATTTATTGGCAAAGCTTCTTCATAAGAACAACAACAGTCAAACTAGCTGGGAGGAACATGCCCAGTCTTGTGAGCTGCAACTATAAAATGCTAAGATAAATATTTCTAAGTAGCTTATAACACTTATATTTAATTGAGTCAGGAAATCACTTATAATGAAGAGATTCAATAAATGATTATTATTTGTATTAAAAAATATTCTGAAAACTGTCATATTATGCTTAGCAAACTGAAATGGCAAAACACTAATAATAAAATGTATTTTTGGTGTTTACAAACATAAGGCAAGATTTTGTTTGGAATTACACAATTTACTATATAAAAGTATCTAGACCATCAGATATGCCAGCAAATACAGAGAAAAAAGTAAATTAATTTATGGCAATCTGCTATAAGAGTGTTAAAAGTACAGCAGAGTTTTTATTTGCATTTAGAAAATCTCAAAGATAGATCTTTTATAGATGTAATTTTTGGAAGAAAAACAACAGAGATATTGTTAATGACTACAATAATTTCAATCAACTCTTTGGTTACAGGGCTAGGTGCATTGCACCTACTACATAACCACCAAAGTAACCACAAGATTATTCATACTATACCCTTTGGTAATGTATGTGTATCATCATGAAATTTTGCAGACTATCAGTAAACATTACAAGGCTTTCATTAACAAAGTATCAGGTTTTTTAATTAAAGATTTGTTCATGAATTTTTTCTTTTGGAATGTTGACTATCCAACATACAAAGACATTTTGATTTTAAGATTAAAAAATCTCATTTCTGGTCAGCATATTGCCTTAATCACCACTCTTCAAACTTATAATGGCTTTACCTACATAAATACTTTAGGAAGAATGATAGGATTACGTTGTTCAAAATGATCATTTTCAATTGGTTACAAAGATGTACGTAAGAAAAGAAGGTGCAAGTAAACAAATATTTTCAAAAGAGGAAGAGGTGAGTCAGCAAATAGAAAAAGTAGGAGGTTCTTATTTATATTCTGGCTTATCAATATTGGTAATTTGAGTTTTTAATTCATTAAAAACTGCAGACATTACATTTTATGATGCCCACAATACAATCTGAGCAAAATCAGAAGACAATGTACCATGTGACACACAAACAACTGGTATTTAGAAATTTTATTTTAATATTTACTTTTGAACTAAGAAAGCAAATAATATATAATACTAAAAATGGAATAACAAACTACATTTTGATTCCAAATTTATGAACATACATTCATAAAATAGTAGTTTAATAAAATTTTAAATGCAAGTCTACAAAACATGATGACATGGAAAAGGTTAATCTCCCATAAACACACAGATGTTGCAATAGGATGAAAGCCACCTACACACCTTGTAATAAAATCAGTTATATCAAACCTTACAAGAAGCAAAGTAATAGCTTGTTTTCCTATAATTAAAGCCTACTGAAAGATAGCTGTAATCACTATTCTTAATCTTAAACTTAAGAATTTAAGACTGCACATTAAACTGCAAATTCATCAACTTTTTTTAAGGAAATACACCGTCACTTATTTTGGAATTCTTAACTGAAGAAAAAAAAAAAATCTCTTACCCACCTGGCCATGAATGAAAGCACTGACATAAAATGCCATGTTGTCTGGCCATGGAATACTCGAGAAAGAATCCCACCATCGCTTAATGATCAAAGAAACATAGAAGCCCAGAACAAAAGATATAGGAATCAAATTGGAAAATGTTGCACAATACAGGACAATCTTCTCAAAATAGCTAAAAAATAAAAAAAAATTCACAATAAATGCTAAACACTGATAACACTTGTTGAATAAAGCAACTAAAAAATAGTTTAAAAGATAACAAGGATCATAGCACTGTCCAGTAACAGTCGTATCACATTATGTATTTAAAGCCTAAAACCTGAAAAGCATAAGATTTATTACTATTATTTAACAATTGTCAAATGATAAGTCCATTTTTTTGTAAATTACCATTTACAAAATACTGCAAAAAAAGTTAGTGACAATTTTCAAACAATCTTTTCCAAATATGTGAAATCAGAGCCCATCAGTTTGAAAATATTTTTTGAACAAAAAAATGAAGTGTTTAACATGTTGAAAATTATAAATATATGTAATATTTTTATAAGCATACTTTACATACTAAAAGATTACCACTTCATTCACTGGCCAAATGACACATAGCATAGAATTTCTAAATTGAATTTTTATTCAAACTACAATAGGCCTTCTGACTTTTCTCAATATAAACATGAACATGCCATTAATAACACTAAAAATTTCTAAGAGTACAAATCCATTCTTTATAAGTAATGCATCAACTTCTAAATGAGGACACACTCATTACATATAAGTCACTAGTGTAGTAAATCCAGTATTTACTACATATCATATAACAATATATAACTATTAAATTCACTACAATTTTGGGATAATTTTTTCTGTTGTTTTGCTGATACTATCAAAGACAAATATTCTGAAATTATTTATCATATGTGTGTGTAGAACTCTATCAAATTAAACACACAATGATATAATTTGTACAATGATTTGAGAAGGATGGTAATAAATGTTACTTACAACTTTTGTCATATTCTTGCCTTTATAAATTTTCTAGTGATCATTTAAGTTATACAAATGTGTTAGATTTACATGGATATAAATAAACATAATAATATACACACAAAGTAGTTTTCATTTTCCAGGAACATTAATCTAGGCTGTGACACAGTTATAAACTTGATATACATTTGATACATGAAAAAATATTCCATTGGATTTTTGTGATATTTAAATACTATATTTATGAATTTGTAGAATTTTTTCTTAAATGTGTTTTGTGAGCTGTTACCTTATATTATTATAATATTTTGTTAGCTATGTACACGTACATGAATGTGAAAGTCAGCATATATTTAGGATTTGATGAGCAAAGGGTAAATTTGGTGAGCCTCACTGCAATGAGGCTCACCAAATTTACTCATCTTGCTCCTTTTTTAATTTCTCTAAAAACCTGCCTGAAAGATATATATATATATATTAAAGTACAAGATCTTTTACACATTAATAATTACAGACTTACCTCTTACTTGAATCATTGAGACTTGTCCGGTAGATAATATTTATTAAATAATACACAAATAAGTACAAACATAATTCTGGCCATAATAGCTTGTAAATACTTCCTCTCCATCTGAAATATTAATATTAAATTAATTACTTGATTATTCACACAACAGTACAAAGCAAATATAACTTTCAATTTCACATATACATTAAAAGCTAACATAATGCATTTGTTTTTTTGAATTGGTAAATTTCTATAATTTTTTCTGTTATTGGTAGAAAGCAATTAGTAAAGGCATTCATGTATACAAGATTTACTATAGCTAATTCTAGTCATTAATAAGTATGCTTCATAAATAAAAATGTAGTTTAAAAACTGAAACCAAATATTCACTTTTCAAATATGGAAGTATATGAAGCTTACCTAAAAAGAAGTTTCCAAAAACAACCTAATCCTCGAGAAGTAGCAACTTCTGCAGTGTATGATACAGTCATTAGTTTTTGCTACAAATCTACAAGCAAGATCTCTCTAAAATTACTTATACAGAAACTTCATTTTATGACTGTAATCTTGAACATTGTTTTCCACATGAAGATACTGAAAAAAAAAAAATCCCAAGGGAATAAGCCAGTTAGTAGATAATAAGGTAGTTCATGGATAACAAAGTTCATATCCTTGAAAAAAAAACTTTTTTCTTTACATCTGTATGACAAATAATTCATTAAGGATATAAAATATTTCATACAATGAACATCATATAGTAAAACAATCAGACACAGTTTACCAAATAATAACAACATATGGACAACAATAGACCATTTGGTCCTTCAGGGTTGTCCCTGTACACCCACCTTTCATAGAAAAGTAAAAAGTTAAATCAATCTTTTAATTTTTAGAAAATTATCAATTCCCCTTTCAAACTCGTGAAAAGAGCCAGTCTCCACAACTTAACAACAGCAACTCTATCCATAAGCCGATCAACATGTTAGAAAATTAAAACAATCTTAACTAGAGTCTTTTTCTGAATCCTCTATCCTCTCATCCCATTCTCTTCAAAATATAGCATAAAGAAATCAAAGACTTTTATCATATGATAATCTAGTACTTCAATAAGATTACCTCTTACCCTTCTTTTCTCAAAAAAACAATAAGAGATCTTAAACTATCTCCATTAATATAAGCCTTTTATCACTAGAATCATCCTGGTAGACCTCCGCTGAATCATTTCCCATATGCCAAATTGTACAAAGTATTCCAATAAGAGGCCTAACTAGTGATTTGTATACAGAAATTTATTTACCTCTTTTGACTTCTAAACGATGTTTCTAAATACACTAACTTTTATTAGCTTTACTACTGCCTTGATGGCTTCAGTGACATATCCACCACTATGCCAAGACCCTCTTTTTCAGTCACGCTATTTAGTGAGTTCTCAACTAAATTCAACTATATCTAAGTGCATTACCTCACACTTACTATAATAAAAGGTTAGTTGCCAAGAATTTTTCAAATAACCAATTTATTCAGGTTATTCTGTAGTAGTACAAGTACCTAAACAGCTAGAAATACCAAAAGTTTACTATTAATTGTCCACAAACTTCTCTAATTTATTAATAACATTTAAGGACCACAGGAGACCTGTTGGCCCATCTAGACTGTCTCATCCACTAATTTAAATTATTAAAAAAGAAACTCGAAGTCAGTTCTTATCATTCAAATTCTTATCAAGCCTTCCCTTAAATTTAATGCTTCCACCACATTTGAAGGCAAACCATTCCAAGGGCCAACTATCCTGTTAAAAAAATAAAACTGTCTTCACTGAAGATGACTCGTATCCTGCCAAAACTTGTATTTGTGTCCCTAATTCCTGCCATTCTCTCCAATAAGCTCAAAAAAAAGATGATGCACTGACACTATCAGTTCCCTTAACACTTCAATCAGATCCCCTCTAACTTTTTTTTTCCCAAGAGAAAATAGTTTCAGCGATCTTAACTTACTACGATAATCTTTCCATCCAAATATCATTCCAGATGTCCTCCTGTGAACTCTTTCCAACAATTCAATACTCCAAATACAGCCTAATCAGTGACCTATGTAATGAACTTATAATCTCTTTAAACTTGTATTCAATATTTCTGTATATACAACCTAAAATCCTACTTACTCTAGTGACAGCACACTGCATGGATGGTTTAAGAGACTAATAAACCATAATTCAAATTATGATAACCTTCATGCAATAACTTGCATTTATTATAACTAAAAGCCATCTCTCATTTACTTGCATAACTCACCAAGTGATCTAAATCCTTTTGTAAAGCAGCAGCAGCAGCCTCCACACAGCCACCAACACCCAAGACTTTAATACTATCAGCAAAGGTCCTAACAATGAGCTCTGAGGTACCCCACTCGTGACAATAATCCAGTTTTACTGAATACCCTCTGTTTCCTTCCATTCAGCCACTTTTCTAACCAATGATCCAATTTAACCCAGCACCTATGGAGATCATTTTCTTAACATGCCTTTTATGTGGTACCTTGTCAAATGATTTCTCAAAATACAGATACACCAAATCCACATCATTACCCTCATCTATATAAGTAGTAACCTTTTCAAAGGATTTTCCTTCAATGAAACCATGTTGACTGTTAAACAAAATTTTAAACTTTGTTAAATGACTTTGCAAAGCATCTTTTATCAGACTTCAAACAACATCTCGCCACTAATATAAAACTAATGAGCCTAAAATTAACAGAACAATTTTTATCACCTCCTTTGAAATTAGGAGTAACATTAGCCAACTTCCAATCCTCTGTCACCTACCCATTAATCAGTGACTTACATAAAATATCAGTTAATGGCTCACATATCCATTCCTTAACCTCCTTCTAAACCTTTGGGAAAATGTTATCTGGTCCAGAAGCCTTATCATTGTTTAAACTTCCCAATTTTTTCTTAAGTTCAGAATTAATGTGATCATTGTGTTCAACCTTGTCTCTACCTAACAACTGTTCAGGATGAGGAATATTTCTTAAATCTGTATTAGTAAAAATTGAAGAAAAAGTAGAATTTAATAATCTAGTCATCCTTTAACCATCAGATATAAGTCTTCCTTTATCATTCCTCAAAGGTTCTACTCCCATTATAAAATTTTTCTTATTCTTAATGAATCTAATAAAATCCTTACTGTTAGTTTTCACATTTTCAGCCAATTTCTTCACATATATACCCTTTCATATACCTGTTTTACTAACTCACTTGATCTTCAATAATCCTCTGAGTTTTCTTTAACTTTAATAAAACTTATGATACTTTCTCTAATTCTATCCCTAAAACCCTTTGTGAGCCAACCTAGTTTTTACTTGCAACCACCTTTTTTTTTTCTCTTAATTTATACACTCATCAATATGTAAAAAAGCAAAAGCCTAAACACTTATCCTTGAGGCACTCCACAAGTAACAAGGGTCCAGTTTGACACCATTAATAACAACTATGTTTCTCTCAATTAACCATCCAACAATCTAATTTACTAGCTTTTCCTCAATCCCAATGTGACTTTCCTTGCTAATCTTTTATGTGGCACTTTATCAGAAACTTTTTAAAAATCTAAGTACACCAAGTCAAAATAATTTTTATCAGGTAATAAAGCATCCTCAAATAAAAGTTAATAGATTAGGAAGAAAATATTTCCCTTTAGCAAATCCATTATTAACAATATGACAATTATTTGCACTCTCTTGGAATATATGAATATGCAACATGCCATATGGCAATTCGGCTCATTGAGGTCATCTATCATTCACGGAAAAAACACACAAATGATTGATATAATAAAAACATACAAAACAATTCTACTCCTAGATAACTTCTTTATATTTCAGATTTTAATATCAAAATCCCATTACTGATATCAGTCTCATCATAAATTGAGAGAAATATTCAAATAACATTTTTCAAATCATACCAATCAATGTGTGATAATTAAATAAAAATGTTTTAAAAAAGTTAGTCTTACCACCAGTTCCTATTCATGACTAGTTGCATATTCTTGTAAGTGGAGATTTATTCAAACTATCCTGAGAACTTTTCTGTACCATTAATTTCTTTTCTCCTTAAAAACCATGAAACATAAATACAATAGGTTATACTTTATAGTATATGCTTCTCAAAAATCAAGCATTATCTTAAACTAAGAGTAAGAACAAACATGCTAAGCTTTTCAGATTACACAAATAAAATAACTTATAATAAATTCTATGTAGATTAAGTCAATTTAAGGTCTATCAAAGATGTCACTATTATAAAATATCATTATTAGTAAAGACATTCATGACATACTAAACAGTATACTACACATAAGTCTATTATATATAAGGAATAGAACTGGAAATCAGAAATATAGTTACTAAGTTTTAACAAAAATGTAATGGCAAAATAAAATAAAAATATATGACTAATACACATTCTACAAGAAACAACAGGTGTAATTTTCACTTACAACTACAAGTTACTGTACACATTTTACAATATAATGCTTGTCAATGTTGGTGCTTCACTACACTAGAAATTTAATCAATGAAAAAAAAAAGCTACTTAAATCATGCTACTTGAAATAGTACTTCACAAAAATATAAAATCGTATTGATTTGGCTTGTTCCACAGTATCACAGTTTTCACTTTTACAGGAAGAATGGAGTAACTTACCCATAACTGTCTTTAAAAATCCTAGTCAAGCAGGTATTACAAATTGCACTATATATAAACTTGTGTGTGTGTAATTAAAGTCTTAACCTAAACTTAGGCTGTACTGACTGTATACAGTAATAGTAATACAATCACAGCTTCTTAACTAAACATAAATTGCTATTAGTATTACTAGTAGAGTAGTAGTAGTAATACTCTTATCAAATAGTATATTAATACTAAAACTAGTAACAGTAAAGCGTCAGCCGAGGGTAGTAATGTAGTACACTATATTATTATAATTATTAATAATAATTAATACCGTTTTCTTAATACGAAAAATATAAACGTGAAACTAAATAAAGTAAATCATACCAAATCATATCAGTAGATATATTTATCATTTTCTGAGTCTTACAATTTCAATTACATTGGTAAATGATAATTAATATATTAATTTTTATTTTTTATTTTACTCTTACTTTTAGTTCTAACTTTTAGTGCTAGTCACCTACAGAAGCAAAATAGCTAATTTCTTTAATTTTCTGTTTTAAATTAATTAAATAAATAAATATATATATATATATATATATATATCACTATCAATTTAGTGTTTTACAAAAGTATAATAATAATATACTTACGGAAACGCCCTACTCAGACTAGTCTGCAATAGCCGATTCTATTCAGTCCTAAACTATATTTCTTTACATACAACAGTATTATCTAACATCTACTCACCCGATAAAAACTTAAGCCTACACCAGTATCTAAATTGAACAAGTATTGATTGCATTTTAACTTCAATATTGTTTTCATAGACGGCGCAACACACACTTGTATCGACACTTTCTCGAGGGAAGACGGTGCTAAATTACAATAAAAAGTAACACTAATGAACAAATAGTTTTTATTTATTACATTTTCTCAAATTTCATGAAAATCAAAACATATTTAAAATAATCTTCCAATTTTAGTGCCAGCATAAGTAAATAACTTTTTACAATCCAGTTTTTTCTCATTAATAATATAAGAAAAAAATCTATCACAAAGAAAAATTTTGTGGTAATTATATAATATTTTAAAACCTATGCGTACTTGTAGTTTTGAAATCTGTGCTTTTCATTCTTAGCACTCCCCGGTAGCTCAGCGGCAAGTCAGAGGGCTTATAACACTAAAATTCTGGTCTCGATACCCACGAAGAGCAGAACAAGAAAAAAGGCTTATCACTTTGCTAAAGCTTAAATTGTAGT